CGGGCAGGCTGCGCCGGGGGCGGGGGCGGCCCGCCTCCAAACCCGCATCACCTCGGCGGCCGGAGGCGGCTGCCGCCACAGCGCCCTTGTTCCAGAGCAGTCACAGGCCACGGGCACCCTCGGCCTCCCCGCAGCCGCAGGGTCTGGGCACGCTGGCCGTGCCCGCTGCTCCGCGAGGGGTGCCCAGAGGGGCAGCAGTGCGAGCTCCAAGCCCCGGGCACTCTGCGTGAGCTTGGCGAGGGAGGGGATACGCGAAAAGGAAGGACCTGCTGGGTCAAACTGCTTTAATGTTGCCCTCGAGGGGGSAATTTCAGGTTCCCCATGGACAGTGTCACCGAGCATTCCCTCATCACACGCATTCCTTCATCTCCCACTGCCCGCTTAGATTTACAGCTGTTGTTTTCTGCCTGTTCTGGATGTACTTTCTTCACCTCCTAAGGGAGGGGGAAGCCTGTGCCCCACTGATGCTCCGTCTCTGCAGCTCTGCTGCATCTTCAAGGGGGAACACCGGTGGAACCGCAGTACCAGGCGGGGGCAAGCCCGCTGCCATCTCTGCACCATGCTGGGGCTCTCTCAGGTCACTGGGATAACCTGTCACTGAGTTAATCTTCTTTTCTCAGCGGGTCGATCAAAGACTGGGGAGCAGCATTTCCCCAGAGTGAGGACAGGGCCCGTAGGTCTCCCCGTGCATGGGAGAATAGGTGGGGTGCGAGGGACCCCTTTGTCCCCGCGTGGGCACGCCACTCCGCTGCACCAGGAGCGCGTGGCCGTGGAGCACCAAGGAAAGAAAAATAAAAAACAGCTCGGAAAAAGTCTGAAACTCCTTCTTCCACTCGTGTGCAGATGCGATTGGTGRGGGCAGAGGAGGGGGGAGCGGAGCGGGGGGCTCACTGCTCGCAGAGCAGCCGCACACCGTCCCCGCGCTGCCCCGGCCCCGCCGCCCGCTCCCATCTCGGCTCGGCCGCCACCGCTTCCCCTGTCCCGAGCAAACCGGGCCAGGAGCCACTACCCGGTCTGTCCGCCACCACCCGCTTCACGCCTTTCCCCGTCCGCGCCGACTCCTAGAGGGAATTCTGCAACCCTCTGGAGGCGTCGGGAACAGCTGCCGGAGCTCCCTCAAGCCCGCAAAAAGTTTCTTCTCCCTTGAGAAAAGGCGGTTTACAAAGTTCAGYCCCGCGAGAAGGAGCTGCGATCCGCACCGTCGCCTTCCCTCTCCCCGCGCCGGAGCGCAGAGCCCCGCGGCAGAACTGTGTGATTTGGGTTTCCTTCGCCYCCACCTCCCCTTCCACCTGAAGGAATTTATGACACAGATGAAAACTGAAACGGAGTTGGAGCGGCGGCCGAGAGACGCAGTGATGTCGCCGGGGGATTAAACGGGGTGGAGGTGATGTCACCGTGCCTGCACAGCAAAACGCACACATACACGCACACCCCCCACCCCCTGGAGGAGCGGGGCTGCCAAGGGAGCGCGATCGGCCCCACGTCACTCGTGCCACTGGTATAAATGCGGTCCCGCGATGTCCATGGCTGTCGGCGCGGCGGCTCCCGCGACTTGACTGCAGCAGGGCACCGGGAGGCAGCGTCGCTGAGCGCCTTCGGCTGCCGGGACCCGCGGGGCGGCGGCGGGCGGCGGCGGACGAGGAGGAGAAGGAGGAGGAAGAGGATGCTGCGCGCCTTGGTGGCGGTGTCCCTGTGGCTGCGGGTGAGCCCGCGGGCGCAGGGCGCGCCGTGCGAGGCGGTGCGCATCCCCATGTGCCGCTCCATGCCCTGGAACATCACCCGCATGCCCAACCACCTCCACCACAGCACCCAGGAAAACGCCGTCCTCGCTATCGAGCAGTACGAGGAGCTGGTGGCCACCGGCTGCAGCCCGGTCCTGCCCTTCTTCCTCTGCGCCATGTACGCCCCCATCTGCACCCTGGAGTTCCTCTACGACCCCATCAAGCCGTGCCGCTCCGTCTGCCAGCGCGCCCGCGACGGCTGCGAGCCCATCATGCGCCGCTACAACCACAGCTGGCCCGAGAGCCTGGCTTGCGACGACCTCCCCGTCTACGACCGCGGCGTCTGCATCTCCCCAGAGGCCATCGTCACCGACGTGCCGGAGGGTGAGAAGCCTGGGGGCAGCGGGCGGTGGCAGGGAGGATTCCCTCCACGCCCGCGGGACGCCCCGGGATGGGACGGGGGGGCTGCGGGACCCCCACGCTCCAGTCCTGGAGCCTCTTCCGACAGCTTTCATTCCCTGACGCACCTCTGTTTGCAGATGTGAAGTGGACGGACTTCACACAGGGCTTTATGGCGCCGGACAGACCCCTGGAGCCTGACTGCAGGAGCCGCGGCCAGGGTGAGCCTTGGACGACCCCCCGCCTCCATCTCCCCGGAGACAGGGTCCCTCTGACATCTCTCAACCTTTCTCCCTTCTCTTCCTTTGAAGAGCGGTGCAGGTGCAGAAAGACAAAGCCCACGCTGTCAAACTACTTGGCCAAGAACTACAGCTACAGTAAGTACATGGGGCAAAATGCTTCACTTTGCCTGTCCCACGCCCTCCTTGTGTGCCTGCAGTTAGACAGCTCTGTGTGGGTGCTGAACCCACACCGGGCCCCATCCAGCAAGTGTGGCATGAGACGTATGGCTCGAGCACAGCCTTTCCAAGWGGGTGTTTGCCGGGGAATACGTGGCTTTCCTCTTCCAAAATCGCCCTCCAGCAYACACCACGTGCAGGCAGTAGTAGCAATCACACAGATGATGGTGTGACATCAGCGCTTTTTCTGACAAAAGCGCTGAAATGTGGATAATGTGCTCTGGCACCAACAGGTTGCTCTGCAGAAAGGGTGGATTGCTGCTGCAAAGGACACTCCAGTAAAGGCAATTACGTCTGATGTGAGTGTGACCACTTGGCCAGCTCCTGTTTMCATCCAGCAGGGAGAATAAACAGGGATTTGCTACCCAAATAAAACTTGTAAATGTGTACCAGCTGCAGGAAAGTAAAAAGTTTTTAAAAATTCATATATGCTTTTACTTTACTAGCCAGTGTTCCATCTGGTGCAGAATTGTCAGAGATTAATTGAATTCAGTGACAATTTGTGCAATTTGCACATCCAAGGAGATGGCCAACAGTTTTATTTTATGTTGCATGCCATATTGGCAATAAAAATAAGTATTCACCCCTCTTCCCCCTTGGCTTYCCCCTGCCTCAGTTTTCTGATGGTGTGAGTCAGGAAGAACTCTAATTAAGATTAGATAAATGCCAGATTAAATGCCTCTAATGTCAATAGAAACCCCCTATTAACTATGAATTTAATATGAAGTGTTGTTGCATTTTGCACTTTATGGGTTTTTCTCTGGTGGTGTTTTTTTTTTCAAGTCATTTATCCAGTTCTTCTGCAGTRGGGTTATTATATGGTTCAATTCCTATTTGTTTGATATCAAATGAAAGCAAGTTTGTAGTTATTTCCTTCTTTGTTAGCATGTTTGGTGATGATAATCAATCTGAACATCTAGTTTAGGTAATTWTACAATTTTTTCTTTTTTATATTATTTTGGTGCATTTATATGACATATTCTTTTAATATAATTCCTTGGTCTGTGCCAGTACAACACAGTGATATGTTTAGGTGGAACAATGAGCTTCCACAATTGTCTGAAATATATGAAAAAATAGTGATATAAAATGACTGTTCCAAAATGAAATACAGGTGTTAGTCATGWAAATTCTGATTCTAGTGATTTCAGTGGGAGTGTTCCTTGAGTAAAACTTGTATGCTGGGGTCCAAAATTTAATTCCATTGAATTTGTTAAATCAAGATTTTGATTTTGAGATGTAAATTTTTATTCAGCATCCTCTGAGATAAAGAAACCTATTTATATGGAAAAAGAATTCAGGGCCAAGATTTAACAAGTTGAAAATAACTTTCTTCCTCAACTTCTTTAAAATAAGGCATACAGGCAAATTATACTTTTAGCTATCAGAACCAATCAGAMTTGAAAATGGATTGTGAGTATCCAAAACTGAAATTCCTCATGTGTTTTGTGTCTGTTATACATATCCTGATAAAGGTAGGACATAAACCCCAGACCACATTAAAAGTGCTGGTCTTCTGTTTTCTATGTGTGAAGTTTATTCCAGATGTTGTGAGGTTCATTTGAAGGCATTTGACCTGGTGGCTGGCAGGGGCAGCATTGATGCAGGCTGATCACTGTGCTCCCACACTTCTCGTGCATCTTTCATGGAAGAGTTTTTGGACAGTAAAACACATCCTAATTTAACATTTCCTAGAGACAAAGTCCTTTATGTAAAAATCATATTTAATTTATCGGATCTGGTATTTCTCGCAAGAGAGAAGGGATGAAATGCTGCAGTGGTAGGTACTGCCAGGGYTCATTGGTACAAACTTAGCCAGGGATCATTTCAGAGCAATCTAGGGTTTCACCTTCTTGCATCCATGCAGACATGCAGTTTTCCTCAATGAAARGTAAAAATACAAATAATTGTGTATTCAGAGTCAGAAGAACCTGCTTTAGTGTCTGGTTTATAGGAGGATCTCAATACTGGTGTGGAATCCAAAAGCAAAAGGTGGAAAAAAGTGTAGCTCAAGTAAATTATGGCAATTCTAARCCTCTTTGCTTTTTACTCAAGCCTTCCCTTCCTTGTTATATGTAAGAGAAGACCATAGTTACGGGTTACAATCTACAGGAAATTATTTTATTATTGAAAAGACTATTGAATTAATGACTACTCACTGTGAGGTAAATTATTCATTAATCAGAAATAGCCAGAGGTGGCTGGAGAATGGGTCAGATTTATTCAAAGGGTTTTTCAAGTTTGAGTTGAAGGAGCTGTTTATGTGTGTGATGCCAGGCAAGATTGGTTGGCCTGATCTGGCAAAAATTTAAGCACATGTTTAATTTCACAGTTGTCAACAGTCCTACTGAAAACCAAATTGAGATCAGGCCTCTGTTATTCCAAGCCACTGTTCATGCCCACACATGCAGAAGCCGTTCTAATTTCACCACTAAGGCAACAGCTTCCAAGTTAATGTTTTATTTAATTTGGAGATGTGTTTAAGTTTCTAAGAGTGTTTATTGTTCTCACTAGTCTATTTTTCTATTTGCAGTTATTCATGCTAAAGTGAAAAGCGTAGAAAGAGGGAACTGCAATGAGATAACGACTGTGGTTGATGTCAAAGACATACTCAAGTCTTCAACACCAATTCCTCTGTCCCAAGTGCCTCTTCTTACAAATTCCTCCTGCCAGTGCCCGCCTCTTCAACCGAAGCAGGATGTTCTCATCATGTGTTATGAGTGGCGCTCAAGGTGAGCCCTGGACGTGTGGTGCAGAAGGTGTGGGAGCTGGCTGTGAGAGATGGGAAGGGGATCAGCAAAGCTCCTTTCCTCATCACAGATGTGTTTTGTTGATAGTCTTTCTTAGGATAGCTCAYACATATATGCTACACGTTCCAGTTACAGTCCCAGCTGACTTTCTCCATTCCATCAGCCTCAGCTCTGTGCCACAGTGGGATGTTTACAAAAGTTGGCTCACACAAAGAGCATGAAATCTGGTGGCATTAGTGCTGACAGCATATTGCTTAAGGCATCATACAGCCTTTCAGGCACCTCTAGCTTGGGAGTGTTTTTCCAGGACCACTTTCCATAGGGATGAGCTGCTTCAGGTGCAACAAGCCCAATGGTGGCTGTAGATGAAGGTCTGTGTCAGCAGGACCAATAGGAAGGTATCGGGCTGCCTCACCAAGGGGGAGGGCAGGAGATGAAGCACATCATCTGTCAGCAGAGCTGCTGGAGTCACAGCCAGGCTTTCTCCACTGGCTTATCCATACTTTGGATCAGTTCCACCAGCGAGATGTTTCTGATCCCACAGCTGTACCGGCACCAGCCAAAGCTGCAGCTGTTGGAGCTCCAGCTCCCGGATGGCAGATGAAAAGTAAATAGTCTCAGAGCAGCTTTCCAGTCCTGCTGTATGATTAAAAGAAAAAACAAAACATAACTAACTTTACCAGACCTTTCATCTGGCAGTTAGCCTAGCCCCAGGCATGGAAGGAAATCCAGCATGCTGGTCTGGAGGGGAAGGAGTGATGAATCACAGCTCCCTTTTCTCCCTGGTTCCTTGCGGCAGGAAGGGGACATCCCAGCCCCGTTAGCACCCCAAGAGCACCAGTAGCAGCAGATGCCAGCAGGAGAGGTTGTGGTGTTTTAGGTCCTGTGTGGGCCTGTGTGTTGGGGTTGGAGGCAGGGCTGTCTGTAAAATGTGCAGGCTGGCTTTGCATATGGTGATGTTGCTGTCAATAGGTCATGCACACTTGTAAGGACCACAGAACACTTACTTGCAGGATGTGATGGGTCATATCCATATTTTTGATGAGTTTTATGTTAATATATGAAAAGCATTTTACAGGTCTTTAGGTTTCTAAATATTGCCATCTGATACCTTATTGCTTTAACGTTTTTTTTCTTGGTGAGCTAGCAAGCACAGTATTTTATTTTTGCCCAGCGCTTTGCACCTCCAGGTCTGGAGTATTTCACAAATACTCGTGTTAGTCATTTTAGGGATACAAGCTCTGACTCACGTTAAAGGACCATGACCAAAACTRCGATGGAGGAGCTCTGGGCTGCAGAGCTTTGTTGGAGAGGATCCTCTGGAGGCCACTAGGAAAGGGAGATTTCAAAAGTCAAAGATCACAATCTGCATCTCCGCTATTACGGAAAAAACCACAATTCACTAAATATCTTGTGATGGTTTTGAAAGGTCATTGAGGTTTTTAATTTCATATAGTGAACTAAAATGGATTTGAAAAAGAAACATAAACTATTATATGTGCTTCCTGTTGAACTCAGTGGCATGCAAACAGAAGGTTTTGAGTTACAGCAGTCCTTTTTTTTAAATGACAGAGGCAAAATGGGTGGAAGCTGTATCTCCTTTGCAGTCAATGGCAAAAAACCTACTGCCTGTTGTTRGGGTTAGAGCCTCACTGGATAATTTTACCTGAACCAAAGCTGAGCCAGATGTACCCCATATTGTGGTTTCATTCATAGCASCGTGGCCTTAGGATCAATCTCTACTCTGTCCTCGGAAAGAAAAGGAAATGTACAACATATTGTTGTGCAAACCCTAGTTCTTCAGGGTTTACTCTCATGTGAGGCCTCCCTTCTGTCTGGTCAAACTGGCTGCATGGTGGCAGATGCCTACGAGAGGCATTTTGCAGGGTATTTGAGCTGCTACGAGCAGCARCGCTATTCATGGAAACTGGAGGTCAGGCCCTGCTGTGCTGTTTAATCATCAGACAAAGCAGTGCTGCATGATGTTGTGTGCATTTATAATGATGTTTGGATGTTTCCAGCCAATGCTGGTGTCTAAGTAAAAATCCCCAGAAAAGAAAGAAAAAAAAGAAAAAAAAAGAGTGAAATTTATATTAGGTGATATTAAGGCCTGGTATCTCAACCAAGCAAAACAAAAAAAAACCCCAAAAAGTTCTTTCTGGGTTGGGACATAGAGGATGTGACATCAGACTGCTTTAGAAGAAACTTTTTCAGGAGCTGTTTAAGGCATATACATTTAATAGTAATATTTTTGTTTTGTTCATTTCATAACACCTAGACTCAATGTTTTCATGCAGGAGCTAGGCAGATTTCATTGGTAGGCAAATATCACTAACCATACATCTTCCAAATTCATCCTAAAACACTCATTAAGGAGTTAGATGTAGGAAACATCTTCATRTATTTATAGGTAGAAATGGATACAATTGTAAGTGCTGAAATAATTATATTATTATTTTGCAGGTGACCTGTATTAACTGGTGCATGTGAAGCATCTGCTTTTTATTTTTAATTCAGAAGTAAAATTCATTAGTTTAATCTACTATTTGCACAAACACACAGAGGGATATATGATATACCCTCATCCCATACATAAAAACTATCAGTACCAGTACCTGTGGGTGCATTTCAACCCAGTCTGTGTTAAATCATCTGGAMTGGTGTCTCAGGAAGTAAAATAAAAAACATCTATAACTTGTGTRTATTTCTTAATTTTTAGGTTGATGCTTCTTGATGGATGTCTGGTTGAAAAATGGAAGGACCAGCTAAACAGAAGATTTAAGGTAAATGCAACCCAAGAAAATAATGCTGATGCTCTTGATAAAAGGTTAAACACCTTTGTTTTACCTCAGTATTGGTTACTTTGATGGCTTTCAGCTATCTGTAACTTCTCTATCATTATGTTCACCTGAACATTTTCAGACCTCATAATTACACAAGTCTAAGTGAAAATTTGAAAATTTTAATCTTATGTTTTAGGGACTCTAAAATTCTATTTCTATTTTGTTTTACCTGGTGGGATGATCTTCATGTGAACTCTGGTTTCTTACAGTAATGTCTCTAGGAATTTCTTTCATATCACTGCTACCTCAAGCAGTGATGATACAAAAGTGAAGGTGAYATGCTGATGGGTATATATCCCACATTAGATAAGAAAGGAAGTTAAAATCCACCTCACTGGATTCAGGGTTTTTGCTGCATTAAAGATAGCAGTCTGGAGACGCACTTCTCACCAGGTACTCCCTACTAAGACCAACGCAAGATATTGGGCATTGTCTCTCTGGATTCAGKACACACTGGAAGGAAATTGTATAGTATAGAGACATGGGTGGCACATGRCGGGCTCAGCAGATGCCCTTGCTTTTTGGGGCTTCAGGATAGCGCTTGATATCACTCACTGCTTGTAAGCTCCTTTTTTTTAATGGAAGGAAAGGGTGGATTGAGAAAAGGTCTGCTTCTTCCTCCCACTTTTAGAGATGGAAGAAAGTTATTTCTGGGATTCAAAAATTTTTCAGAACATTAAGGTCATACATGTATGTTTAAGGACATACATGCATGTTTCATTATGAGTTGATTGATAGCAGCAAAAGAGATACAGGAATCCATAAGCAGAAGCTTTTAGATTACAGACCAGCTTCTTTCARAAAGTTGAATTCAATGCTTCTATCATACACGTTTCACTTACTTATGTGAAAACTAGATGTGGAAAAGAAAACAGGCTTTAAATCTTTCAAAAACAAATACATGGCAATTGCAGAGGATACCACGTGGGATTTAGAAGAATATTGACATATGGCTTGGACTCTTGAGATCCCTTAGTTGTCAACTTAATGGCCTGTCACTGGCACATAGTGTGTTTTAGTCACCTCCTCACACTGTTTTGTCAGTTCTAATTGTGCCTTAAAACATATTTGGGCATTAGTTTCCAGATTGTCAAATAGATGCATGACTGCCAAACAAAATACCCTTCAAAGCATGTGTCATTTCCTCTCATATTACTAGTTTCATAAACTAAATCTTCATTTAAACATGCTTCAGTGGGACACAACTAAATGTCTGCTGATAGTTTTTGTTTTATAAAGATGCATGAAATGGTCCTAATTACACAGATCCAGCATGGAGCTAGGTAGCACAGTGGCTTTATTTTAATGCCAGTCATTCATCCCTAAAGAATTGCCTCCAAATTTTTTATTGAGTTACCATTTAAAAAGAATATTTGAGCTGTCTGTCAACCACAGAAGACAGTTGTTAACATAACCACAACATGACTGGTCTTTTCTCTGGCCAGGACAAGAGTTTGAGTTGCAACAAGATCAGTGCAGAGGTACTAAATAAASTGGAGAGCACTTCTCTTGCACTGATCACTGGGTAAATCCCCGGCCTTTAGGAGTTTCAGAAGAAAAACTRATAGAGGGGAGAGGTGATACCCTTTGCAGGTTCTACTACATACCTTGTTTTCCTTTAAATGGGTATTTTTGTTCCTAGAGGTGAAAGACTGCAGTCTCTGCTGCTGTSTTATGGATCCCTCCAGGTTTTGGAGACCTAACCACTAAAACTYACTGTACAAACCTGTTTTGTAACTACTGCACTATTTGGGTTTGAAAATCTGACAGCTATTATCTTTTGTGAGCTCGTTCATCTAATTGCTTTTCAAAATTTCTCAGGGATGCTGCTGAGTAAAGCTGCAAGTGCCTTATTCAAACCATGCCATTGCAACTCTCAACACTGTGATTTCAGTGGTCATCTCTGTTTGTCTGTCCATAACATAAGCTGSTTCATGCCCAGTCCTCTCTGCCCCAGGGAAAAGCAGAAAGTAAATACCATCTTCCCTTGTAGCTGTGYGCTTAAATATATGTTGTGAAAGGATAGTTTGATTCCTGCATGCTTTTCTGAGAAAAAGTCAGGTAGCATATTCAGCAGGACAGCAAAGAAGGACCTCGCAGAGGACTTCCAGGGTGCTGATCCTGGCTTTTTGATGGCACAGTGCCAGCTCCCCTGGATTTCTGAAAAGGCAGTCACGTGCAGCATGCACATGAGATGGGCAATTGTCATTTCTATCCACTTTTGTTGTGGAAATTCCCTCCACCCGAGAGCACATGGCAGGTTCTCCCTGCAAGCATCCATAGCATGCTCACATCAATGGCCTTGCAATATGGAGCAMGAACCTGTTAAAGGCAGCATCAGTGGTTCAGGGTAGCTTTGATTAATTATGATTATAATTATGTCTTTCCCTAACTCATCCTCTTTGTCTTCTGCATTTCTGCAGAGGTGGGAACAGAGACTGCAAGAACAAAAGCGGCGAACTGCCCGCAGTAAGAACCAGAATTCAGGACGCAGTGGTCAGAGTGGAGCCSTGAAACTGCCAAGCAAGAACACCAACCCGCTGATCAGTGGCCCCAAAAAGGCTGTTAAAACAAGAAACAGCCAGAGAGAAATCAGCCCTAAGAAAGTATGAGTGTGAAATTCCCAGAAGGAAGGACTTTCCCTGCATGACAAGGGTCACAACCTGGCTTGGTCAGCATGTTTTATTCATCTGGAACTCATCRACTTAAAAAAATCATGTCAATTTATACATAGACCTTTTTGCTGCACTTTACTGTTAAAAGGTTGGCTTATCCTTTCAAGTCACTGCAAGCCATAGAGCATAGGTTTGCACTAATACGAGGTAGGCATATTCCAGCTGACTGAGCTTTTCTTTGGGCTCTGGTTTTCCACCTAGATAGAGCTTGGCTGCCAAAGGTTTTGACTCCTTGCACCAGTTGYCTGCTCTGCTTCCCTGCCAGATTTYRGAGAGCTGAATGGAGYRTYTCCCACTCTCAGCTGTTGTAGTATCAGTGAGTCAGTCCTTGAATTAGCTGAGAGCTCACTGAAATGGCAGYTGAGGAGCTGCAGAAGGTTGTTAACCTCTGGCAAACATCTTGGGCAGCAACWACTGCAGCTGCTGGAGCTGAGCCTATCTGCTATTTGGAATCACAGCCCTTGTTCAGAGTGTTCAAAAGCATAGTTTACCATTAAGCATCTGGGTATGCATTATGTGATTATTTTTATGTGTGTACCAAAAATATTCTGACAGTGATGGTATTTGATCTTGTGGGTTTGTGTAGTAAAAATGCATTCAATGCAGACATTTAATTTTTTTATTGTACTTCAGGCTGGCTTCTGTTGTTCTAATTTCAAATATATTTAAGCGTCTAATTGAAAAATCAGTATTTTTTAAAAGGACAGATTAAAGTTAACAGATCTGTAGAATTCTTAAAAGTAACAAATTTGCTGTAATATAGCTTTGTTATGAAAACTGGAATAGAAGCTTTATTCGAAAGATAACTGACAGCTACTGTACAGTATTAAGGAGAAGATAGGGCTTCGAGTGGCTCAGTAATCATTTGTGTAACTTTTTATCATTTGACACCATATTTCTAACCTTCTTCTGAGACCAAATAAATAAATAAATAAATGAATCAGCCTTGTCCCTATTAATAAGCTTCTCAAAGCAACCGGCTATCTGCAGTTTTGCTTATCAGAAAGTGGCATTTACTCTGGAAGGGGTGATAGGAAAAGCAGATACTTTAATTTATGTTGTAAGTTTACTGACTTACCATTTTCTGTGTGAGGTATTAGAGCAGCAAAGGTGATACAAATCTAATTGACTTAACTCCAGGATGGCATTTCTGCTGTTCATTCCAGTGTGTGCTTGGATGAGGCAACATAGATAGCACCTTCTGATTTCAATTTCATGTAACATATAAGAAGATCACCAACATTAAGATCAGAAGAGCTCATGATAGATGCATGCATAGAAAGACCTTCAGGATTTCCTGTAGGAAGACTAAGGACTAGACTGGTCAATTCTGGTAAAATGAGGATTTTTGTAATAGAGAGTGTCTGTCAGAAAAAAAAAAAAAAAAAAAAGTAGTTCTGTGTAGATTAATATAAAGAGTTACAATTGGTCATGTCAGTAGGTTGATCTTTACCATGAAAAGAATTCCAATGAAATTTGCATGTGTAAAATTCAAGGCAGAATATGCTGGAGTGATTTTGGCAGCAGGACCTATRTGCTTGGTAATATGCTAATGCAAATTGGAGACATAGATGCCAAGTTACAATGTTTAAACGAAAAAGACAGAGGTGCTACAAAAAATGGAATAATAGCATATAGGATAGTTGTGGGGGGAACAACCTAAATGGTCCTTGCTGAGCTTTGAGCGGTTGRTTAAAATATACAAAGATCAGCTTTTGAGTATAGTCCTACTGGTAATTCTGGGCAGATGCAGTACTTAACTGACATGGAACACCTGCAGAATTAGACCTAAAATTCATTCCAGGTGCCAGGAATGCTGAGTATATACAGCATCTATTGACTTAAGTAGGAATTGTGTGTGTTTGACATGTCTGAACAAACAGATCACAAACTTAGAGCCTAGAGGTGAAACCTTAATCATGTTAAGTGAAATGGAAAAACTAAAATGGAAATCAAAGGAGACAGAATTTCACTTACCCGTTTAGGTGAGTTTGAAAATGCTGACTTAAGTAAGCATGATCTAAAAGATCAGTATGATTGGAAAACTTCTAAAATAGGTTTTTATTCTTTTTTTAATGTACTRTGTAGCAGGAGTTCTTAAGCTTTGATCCCAATTTAAAGTACCCCAATAAATATATATTTATGGTTAACCTTTAAAGAATGAACAATGGTCTTATCAATGTGTTGCTGAAGTAACAACGCTGAAGTAATGATATATCACTTAAACAAGTTTTATTGTGAACATAGTCAAGTGTGGTATTTGTTGAATGAAACTTTTGGAACAGCTACCTAGACTTCACTGCAACATTACATATTATTTTACAACTGTTATAATCAAACATTTTTTTTGTCTGGGGAAAATAATGTACAAATTATTTTTCTCCAGAGAATTGTCACCATTCCTTCTTCAAGTTGCTGTGATTAAATTAACCATTCCAGTATGCTGGAATAAACATTGATGCATTGAGCAAGGTGTGTCCAAATTCCTTGACATTTTTATGTATGCTTTATGCTGACTAATTTTCAATCTAATATGGTAGAAATATGGAAGAAGGCAATGCAACAAAAAGCAGGGGATATCATAATGCAAARAATAGACATGCAAGGGATAAATTATAAGGTAGTGTGTTTTTCCAAACCCATGTTTTCCTAGATTTTAAGGAGGCATGGGTCAACCCAATTCAGCACGAATGTAAGTCATGCCATTTTGAAAATCCCCTACTATTATTACCTCCCTGTGACATCAAATGCCAGCTGAATCCAGACCTAGCATATCTGCACCCTCCAGCCACCTGTCCTTCCCTTCCCTTGCAAAGACATGAAATAGGTGTTGGAGCAGTGAGGGCTGTTTGAGTAGGCAAATTCCTCCCCACAGGGTCCACTCACCATTTCTGCTCCCTGGCATGTGGCAGAAGGTCAAGTCTCACCTCTTCTCATGCACATCCATGGCCAGGTGAARCCATTGCTGTGCTACTGCACTCCAGCACTGAAGTCATGAAACCTCGATTTAGCAGAGGGTGCAAATAGTTTGCTGATGGATGAATGTTTTTACTTTGAAACTTCTTAAAGATGAAAAATTAGCAGGCCAAATCCTCAAAGTGTCAATTTTTTTTTTTTTTTCTTGGTGTTGCAGCTGTCTTGTTACTGCGGGGCTTGGCATTTTTTTCATATAAAATAAAAATTGCCTGGAACACCAAACATATGCTTCTAGTAAGTTTCTTACTACCTCCCACATACATGTGCCCAGTTTAGTTAGAAGTGCCATTCAGTATTTTCACTGAATGTTCTAACCTCAGTTCCAAAAGAATGAAACCTGAAAAAATATTTACTCTAATTGTGAATGATTGGCCCCATTTTAGAAGTTCACTGTAAATGCAAATCGGAACTCTTTAATGAAACACATTTAAAAGAAACCTCATAAAATCCCCTCTCCAAGAAGACCTGAATGACCCGGTCACTTCAATTCAGTGTTGCAGCTTTTGTCCAGTCAGTGCATATAACTGAGAAATACTTCCTAAGCAAATAAAAAGAAGAYTTTCCTGTCCAAAATACTCAAACAGCTCCTAAATTCTTTTATCCAGAATTGTAACCTAGATTCCAAAAGAATGAAACCTGAAAAAATATTTACTCCAATTATGCACAACCGACACAAGTTTTTGGTTGTTCTTAGCAGTTGAATGTAAAGGCACATCTGAAAACATTTCCTCAACCAGATTTTTCTGGTAAACCAAATCTAAGATTTATTTGTAAATTTATATGTCACCTCAGGGTCAAAAAAATTCAGAATTATGTTGCCATTTATAAATATCACCTCCTATAGAGGCATTACTTCTGATTAGACCTAGCCAAGGCTTTCTGGAAAAAATTGCACTCAATKTCTATATTGACACTGTATTTCATGTAATATCTCTGAAATTAAACAGCAGCCTTACTGGAATGTAAAACAGGGTTTCAAACTTGATTGCTGGATATGCAGTAAATTTGAGGGCTTCCAGGTAATCTATTAGTATTAGATTTGTTTGTGTTGCTGCCAAAAGGTTTGTGGATAAACCACTATGGAAATAAGCATGAAGGAAGGGAGGGCACACTCCTTTCTTTTCTCTAGATTGGGACAAGTGCCAAAAGTACCTTAAATATGTTAGGCAGTCTTTATCCAGATAGAAGGTTTATGGGTGCATCAGTGTGACCAAGAGATGCCCCAAGCAAAACAACAACACCCTAAGTCTTTTAATTCCTTGTGGTTTCTGTGTGATGAAAATTTTATAGTTGGTAGATAGTCAGAGAACATCTGTATGTATTCTCTGAGCAAGGTAATCAGAACTGCTCGTTTTCTCACAGAGAATGTGGATAAAATGAAGAGACATTTGCAAGGTCTGATAACGTAGCTCATTCGACAGTCAGAGCAAAGGAAAAACTGTGCAGTGGTACACAGCCACAAGCTGATTGACTCCATCTTCTTGGCAGGGAAAAAAAGCTTTTTCTCCACTTGTCTTATTTTTTTTATGTAGTAATTCAGTACAAAAACTCAGTACAAAAACTCACTACAATCAGACATACTTTTTCTTCTAAAACAGTATTTTGAGATTTATAACCCCCTTGTTTATCATTCTAAMCTGAAACAGATCTTTAATATAGTCTTTACTGTCAGATTATGATTTCATTAAGGTTCCTAAACAAGGAAGTATGTGGTCTGGTGGTATAAATAAACATGCCCTGTGGTTCCATTTGTCTCCTGCTGGGACAAAAATCAGAAGAATAATTATGTTATCTTTTGTTAGTGTTGGAAGAATTTTAATCAAATCTTTGCACCACCTAATTCTATGATGAACTACAAGATATTTTCTAAATAAACAGTYGGGAAGGCCACATTCTATTTTGAACTGGCATTTAGATATGAGATAAACGGACAGAGTCAGACTTTCTGTAAGTTTTGTACACAGAAGAGTTATGTAAATTTAATTGCAGGAAGATTTTAACCTGTGAGACTCAATGGAGTTTCTGTTGGAACAGAGTCCTCCTGACTCTATGGCCTGGTTTTACTCGGTCCGGTTTTTAGTGGTGGGGGGAATGAGACCGGGAAACCACAAAGATGGCTCCTTTGACAAAGTTCTAGAAGCTTTCTCCTYCTTCTCCAGCAAAAGGAACCTTGCCCCCTGTGTTTTAGAACCAATCCATTATGGCTCTGAGGTTGATGGACAGACTGCTGCTCAGGCCTGGCCAATTGCACAGGTTGGTTACACCTCTGTGATGATGTATGGTCTTGTACTTTAGAAGATTTCAAAACAAGATAGAGTGCAGCTGTCATTTAGTTTTTAGGTTGTTAGTTTTTAAGTTTTTAGTATCATGCACTGGGGGGAGGACAGAGGAAGAGGGTGAGGAGATGTATGGAAAAAAAAATGGAGACCCAAGATGATAGTAAGAGGAAGATAGGTACTGTTACTGTGGTGCTCGAACATGGCGAAAGCAAGCTGTTCTCGAAAGGACTATTTCTTCAATGGGAGACCTGTATRGAAAAGAGAGCAAACTTGCTCTGAGAAAAACCTGGCCTTTGAGGACTTGGCTCATAACAARCTAAAAAAGGGGAAGAGGCTTGGCTCCCGCTCATGTCTGAAGCGAGTTGAAGCTTAGAAGAAATTGTGTTCTGCGGGGAAGAGGTGCCCCCCTCACCCCAGATCTGAAGCAAGTGGATGCTTAGAAGAAGCTGTGTTCTGCCAGGAGATTTGAGAGAGCAACCTTGGAGGACTGTTTTCCTTTCTCCCACGAGGTAAAGAAAAGAATCCCTTGCCATCAGTAGTTATACACTGACTGTTTCTTGGGAAAAGACCTTCCACAGCTTAGAGCTGTAAGAATGCTTCTCCTATGATGCTGAACGATAACCGTAATGAGTAGTCTGATCTATGTTTATGTTAAAACTTTCACCCCTGCCCCTTTTGGGCACAGGAAGGCATGGGGGTGGTGAAGAGGGCTGACTTGGAAGAGAGCCAGGTTCCCAGAWAGAATAACAKGTGTCTTAAAATGTCTGTTTTTATTTTCTTCTCCTTGTAAATTTTTCCCTATCTCTGTTCCCCTCCCYGGTGCGATAATATTCTTAGTAGCTTGTAGTAATAAATCTATTTTGCAACTTAAGTTATTCAGCCTGTCTGACTATTTTTCTGGAGCATATAYGTATCTTTYTCTCAATTATGTTAYGTTATCTAAAAGCTATAAATTTTAGTGTTAATTGGGCTTTTGCTCTCCCTTCTGCCTCWCCGGTGGGAAGCCGGGGGGAGGGAACGTCGTGGGTGCAGTGCTTTTGGCTTTCAGCCTAGTTCACGACACTCTATAAATCAAATTATTGCCATCCCACCACAAATGTTCAAATTCTTTCAAATTACATCCATATCTATGTCACAGTAATATCATTTTTAAAGAAGAGTAGATGGCAGTATAAATAATGTGTGTAGTACCTACAGGGTGAGTCAAACTTTTAAAGAGACAAAGCAATCTCTTAAAATATTGGTAGTATTTTGATTGCCATTCTTTTGAATGCATATTTTGATAATTCTACAGAAGTATGTCTCTCAAAGATATAAAAGCTTTGCAAATCTGAATCTCTTCATCATCTGACTGAAACAGTTATTTTAAGRTGTTTTAAAATGTATCTGTTAAATTCCTCCTTTCCAAAGCTGCTAGAAGACTAAATGAAATGCTCCCACCTTTCAGTTTGGGTTTGGATACTTAGTCAACATGAAGAAAAAACTGTCATAAATCTATGCATAATATTTCAGTGGAATCTACTGGATTGCTCTAAGCAAGCACAAAGCAGGGATTGTACTTGAAACACATGAATATGGGAAMCCAGATAGACAAAATCCTTCAACATCCAATACTTAAACCAAACTGACCAAAATCCTATATTGAATGGTGTGATGCAGTATGAAGGATAATGGTTAAGCAAGAGCAGTAACTCAGTAGACAGAGTTAAATAGGCAGAGGCAGACCTACAGTACCCTTACAGCAAATTGAAATTTCTCAGACCAGAGCAATCAACAATTCACAGTATTCATAATCTGTGTGTGATACTTATCAAGCTAATTGATTGTGAACTTCCACCAGACACATTATGGACTCTTAATAAGACATAAGCACATTTTGCTGTTTTCAGGAGCATTTCTGCTCCTGTCAAAAAATAAACCAGCCGAAACATTCCACATTGTATTTGTCCCACTGGTTGAGAAGCCAAACTCCAACAAAGATCCGAGGAAATGAGCTGAATTGATGTACGTGAAATCGCACTACTCAAGCAATCTACTCTTTTCTGAGGCTGCTTCTTAGTTTAAGATATAGTGTGCCAGGACCCAAAAGATTCAGAGCGCTGAAATAATGCCAGAAAGAACAGTTTTAATGGGTTTTTGAAGTTAAAAAGAAGCCAAAAAACATACAGCAATCCCGAAGAGTGTTTCTCAGAACCCACCTCACTGAGTTGACATATAAATTCTGCACTAATTACCACCTCCTACAGGTTAAACTTAAGCTGAGTTTGTGGCAGTAAAGCAGCTGTAGGTGAAAATGGGYCACCAGGAGAATGCTCAGTCCAACTTCTGCTGGAGGAATGTCTATAATAACAAATGTCCCATCACAACAGAAATATTTGTCAGGAAGCTCTTTATTACTGCTTGTTGTATTAAGTACAATAGGAACAATAAAGAAAGTATGAGAAGGACTTCTTTCTGAACTTCACACTTACAATCAACATTATATATAAGTAAATTTTTTTAAGTGAATGCCATTCTTTAGAATCTCAACCTTCAACAGACTCAGACAGTAAAAGTGAGAATATATTAGCTACAGAATAATATTTAGAATCTCAACCTTCAGCAGACTCAGACAGTAAAAGTGAGAATATATTAGCTACAGAATAATATTTGTGTTCTTCATGAAGAACAGCCAAGTTAGAACTGGACAGGATACGAACTTGCTAGTTTGGCAAAGAGGTACATGTTGAGAATAGCTGTTGTGTAAGAGCTGKTTTTTTATTTTAGTTCCTCTAATATATTTGAATTAAATAAAAGGCCTGGAAAGGACCTTTTAATTATTTATCCTTCCTGCAACAGTAGTAATCAGAAGATATTTAGGAAAAAGATAAATAAACAATGCAAATGTTTCTCAGGGCCCTGAGGGAACCAATAGGCCTTAATAACCTAGAGCCATCCCACCAGGATGTGCACATATACAGCTGGTCAGTGGGTCCARGTGCCCCATTTGGCTCACATTTGGAACTGCAGAACTCAATCCACATCACAGTGGATGTGCCATTAAAAGTGTTTTATTCATCTTCCTTGACCTATGTCCTTCCTTGTTCTTTTTAAGGTTGCTAGACATAAAACTCTTTAGAAACCTKTAACTATTGTAAAGGCACAAATCTGTTAAAATGAGAAAAGAAATGCATATATTAAGCATGCGTAAAGAAATCATTGCTAATGCCAAAGTTCTAACAGGTGTTACTGGTTACTTAGATATGTTTTGCAATATGGAAGAACTGATAACAAAAACTACCCACTTAAAATTGGATGGAGTATGAAGGAAAAAAGATGTGTTTGTGTAGCCTTAAATATAGYGGTTTAGTGGACAAATATATATAATTATATGAATATAAATTTTCAGAGATTGTATCCTAACTGTTTAGTCTGCATCAAGCTCTCCAAATGCAAATGCAATGCTTTTCATAGCATGTTCTGGATTAGATGATCCATGAACAGCATTAGACAGAATATCATGCGCAAACTGAGCCCGAATTGATTCTGGAGAGACCTTCTTTGCCTCTTCTGGATCGGTTGGACCCATTAGTTGCCTCCACTCTTCCACAGCATTTTCCTTTGATAAGACCATTACCACTGATGGACCCCTGTAAAATCAATATAGGGAAACTCTTAGACTGTTCTGGGATTTCTGAGATGCAGACTTATTTTTGATGTCAGAGGTACCATAGAGGGTTATAATAARCATTGAACTACCTTTATTTTATTAAGCTGCTTAAATATTAAAATTTGTTTCTGTATGTTTTGTTTAGGGCAAAATCCCATATTTGAAAGCCAAGGACTTGTTGTCCAGATACTCTCACCCACTAATTTGTGAAGAAAGACAATACATAATGTTTTGAATAGATATACTTACAATATTATGAGGAAGATATTTGTCCTGCATGAGGAGAAAAAAGATTCCATAGGAAAGCAGTTCCTTTTTAGAGAAAATAAAATCCAAAAAATGYCACCCATATGTTTGAGAAGAACTGTAAATGTCCCTTTTAGAAGAATACTCTAAGCTAGAAGCCACTAAATTTGCTAGATATAGTTGTAAATGTAAAATCCTTGCACCACTCATGTTTTGTTGGCACTGTAGATTCAAASTGTGATGTCTACTTACATACCTCAGTACTGTAAACCAAGACACTTACGCAGTCATRCAATTCACTAAATCTTCAAAAAAGGGTTTTCCTTCATGATCCTTGTAAAACTGTGCCGCCATTTCACGAGTTAAAGCTTGTTCTTTTACCTTTGAGATGCTAAATCCAGCCTGTTTAACTCTTTTCATAATTTCTTCTAGAATAACAAAACCCTTGTTTTAGATTGAAATGGTTTAGATGCAAAGAACCTCCCCAAACACCCAAACTTTAAAATTCCAGAAAATACAAGATTTTTTTTTTTTCTAAAAGAATTCACCAACACCTATTCTAATTCTTCTTACAATATCAAAGACCCATGGATAATATAAGACACATTTCAACAGTCCTCTAAAATAGACAGAAACCATTGTCACTGCATGATCCWTCTCGATGCAGGTTTTAAACCCAGACTGCAATAAACTGTGCCAATATCATTCACTGTTGTCACGTTGAACAGAATGTGGACTGGAGTTGTAATGCTGTATCAAACATCACCTGGCTTGCCAATCTGCTTTGTTACAAGAGGGGAGGAAAGACTCGCCAAAGCCAATGATGAATTAGCCTTCAAAAGACTACAGAAATTTGTTAGGACAGAATAGAATAATTTTAAGTAGGGGCTCTAGATAGAGAATTTTTCAAAAGTGGTAGCACACCTCCTTGGGGCATGATTCCAAATTGTACTTAGTGCTCTTCTTACTTTGGTATTCACCTTCTTATTCCCTTAGTCTAACAGTAAGTTAAACCAAGGATGGGAATGCAYCTAACAGAGCACTGACCTCTTTTGAGTCACTAGAGATACCTGTCTGAAATAAGTAACAGAASTTTGGCAAGTGTCTCTCTCCTTTGACTCATAAGGATGCTGGGCAGACAGTCTGCAGAAGTGCCTGGCTTTAAAAAAATGTAGCTTTGCTAAGAACTAAGAACTCTCTTTCTTCAATGCACCACTATTCTAGTGAAAAAAGACCTAAAGGCAGCTTATCAAAGGAAATGCCACATTTGAGATCTCAATCTGAATTATGCTAGCCCTGTAAGAGAATTTCTCTGCCCAGAAAACATATTTCAGAGAATCAAAAGRATGCATTTGATGTGATTTACTGCAGAGTGCGTTGCAAATCTTTTGTAGAAATGTTTACATCAGTAAATATAGCCTTACCTTTATGAGTCTTAGCAGCATCAGGTTTGATTAATGCAAAAGTTTTTTCCTCAGGGAAGAAGAACTCTAATTCCTTCTCAGCATCGACGGCTGAAGAACTGCCATGCAGCTGATTGATAGGCACGCTGTCAATCGCATACCTTGCACGCAGACTAAAAGTCATCCAGAGAGTGAAGTTACTTACAGGAACAGACATTTTGAGCTGTAATTAGCCTTAACCCAGGGAATATAAATTAGTGCTGATCTGGAAGTCTGAAATATGAGCACCCTCCCTCTCAGTACTCATGTTGTTTTATTTCCAAGAAATACCACTTCTTTTCTAATGAAAGGGCACTTTGGTCAGCAGGAGGTAAGATGACACCATGGCAATTTCCTGGGATAAGCAGGTAGAACTAAGGTGTCTGTTTATAAAATGCATAGAAGAAACTTAGTCACAAATAACATATTTACTGATGCAAAGTTTTCAATAAGCTACAAGAAAAATTTTAGTGTTTTTCAAAAAAAAAAAAAAAGTAATGGCAACATTGCAAGAAAAAAATCCCACTATTAAGGATAGGTATTGCCAACATTTTTTCTCTGACTCAATAACTGTCCTTTCACTTCATCACACTTTTTAAAGCTCAGCTKTTAATTATGCTTAGCAGCTATTATATCTCAAAAATATTACGCTTTCTATGTGTAATACATTACTACTTCCAAGAAAAGCTTAAAAAATTGCAGAAATGTTTRTCTGTTTCCAGATGATGGCACTATAGTTACACTAGTTGGAATGTGGAMCTCATTGAGATGAGGAATGTGAAAGTAAGTTGGAAGCTGTGAACGATGGTTGACTTCTGTGGCTATTACCTCTCTGGATTTTCCTTAGCCTCTTCAAGAGTCTTTGGGCCTAGCAAATTTCTCCAGTGTGATACAGCATTTTCTCCTGTTAGAGCCAATACAAGTGTCGGACCACTGTACAATGGGAAAAGTAGCATTAAAAACAAACAAACAAACAAACAAACAAACAAACAAACAAACAAAACTAAAAAACAACAACAAAAAAAAAACCCCAACTAAACTCTTAGTAATTTTAAAAAGGAATTTGATTATATGTAGTCCAGACTAGGAAAATTAGTCTCCATGTTGGAGGACCTTAAAACTGATCTGATAGTTTAAACAGGTACAGTCTGATAAAACCTTATGGGTCTTAAATACAAATTTAAATTGCAAAGTTACTGAGTTTTGTCACAATGGCAAGACAAAGAAATACTGATCATGCCCCAACCGTGCCCCAACTTCATATGAAGGGAATATCCAAACATGATTTATTTCTCTTCCTCCAGCACATGGCTCAGTTGAATATTTCAGAACTCTCCTACAGCCAACCTAAATGCAGCCTTTCAGAGCAGACCTATTTTCACTCAAATCAGTGGACTTGGCTGCTGAGACCTCATACATACAGTGATTCTGACTAGCTAGTAACTTTTAAAAGCTTGTACTTGGGAATTATTCCATTATCTGCACGGAATCTGATCCTGTTTTGTCTTTTACCAAACTTTTAGGTACATGTGTATGTTGTAGGCATGTATTATCCAGGAAATGTTCAACACCAGGTTGGGTGGGACTCTGAGCAACCCGGTCAGGGGCAAGGTGTCCGGATGGCTGGACACCTTGGCTGGAGCTGGGTGGCCTTAATGGTCCCTTCCAACCCAAGTAATTCTGTGAGTCTATGATTCAATAACTATTAATTTCAGTTTTATCTGATTCTATGTAGATTCTATAGATCCACATTCTCCTTTTTTATTCAGCGTACCTGGTCATTTGGTCTAGAAGGACTGGGAAGTAGTCTTGATCRACATGCTCTTTGTAAAATGTACGTACTTGATCTTCAGATAGCATTATTTCTTTCTGCATTGCTATTCTGAAGCCATCATCCTTTATCCTTTGTAGGATAGAATCTATTGAATATATTGAAATAATGCTGAATTGTCATCCATTCATTCAYTTACACACTTGTAGAGAAATGGCATGGACTTTTCAATGATGAAAAGTTATTACATTTTTGTGAGTGAATTAATTTCCAAACTAAAGAACAGAAAACTAATTTAAAGCAACTGCTAGGAGGCATCACTAGTTGCCTGGACACTCAGAAAGCTGATCCTCATCTTCTTAAGGCTTTCTCTTGCTTCAGAAAACTCAGTAGGAATTCCTGACTTAGAAATATGATACATGTTACTACTAAGCAAAAGGTCTAAGGAATTGGGRTAGGTGAAATATTTATTTTATCTAAGTCTTACAAGACCACATGGATAAGTAAGTAGTTTTTGGCACAAGTCAAAATTACTACAAAATCAATGTGTAATTACCTACATATGAACTGCAGAACTGCTGYTCTAAGCAAAGTGCTAGACAACCATAAAGAAAATAAATTCACAAGGAAAGACCAAAATTGTAGCATTTCTGCTCTTTGCGTAGAGTTTATTTCAAGCACAGAGATTCTCAAGTTTGAGCTAAAAATACCACCTGAAATCTAGGAAGAAATGCAAAGATATTACTTAGAAGAAAAGTGAAGTTGTTTGGATGAAGGTTCATGTAATGGGGTAGACTTTTGTATTTAATCTGTAAGAATGCTGTCTGTTTAGGGCAGGYCTTGGGCAGCACTGCCTGATGCAGCATAGAACAGCTTGGATTGGATATTTTTCCCCTTCCTGTTTCTCTGTCTTGGACCTGCTATTCAAGAATATTAGCTACTTTATTATGGTGTRAAATCTAGTCCCCCTGTATTTGAAAATATTAGCTTTTCTGAGAGGTCTACTAGAAACATTCAATCTACAGACTTCCTTGAAAAATTAACCRAAAGAACAAAATATCATTGGTATTTGCATTCTCAATGTATGAAAAACATTAACCACATAACTTCATTCCAGATAAAATTTACTGCTGGCCTAATACTGGGGAGACAATATAACCTAAAAGCATGTCATTGTTTGAGTTAGAATTTGTAATTCAAAATTCAAAATATGAGAGTATTTATACAGTCTTGATAAAAAACACAGTTATTAACACTTACCTCGCCTTTCCTTTAAGAGACTGGGTCTAATTATGGCYAAAGTCCTTTCAACATGTTCTTCCTCATTTACATTAAAATTTGGAAAAAAGAAAGCWAGTTGTCTACTGGCATCTTCAACACTGTCTTGCACATCACATATATTAACCAGACTCTCAGCTGACTTGAGTCCTGGCTTGAGTTTCCTGATGAAACATGAAGTAATTTGCAGTATTTAAGTCACTGTTTAGTTTTAACAAGCTACTTTTTGAAGACATACTTTATTAAAATTCAGGGAAACATAAGAATAGAATGCAAACCAAATTTTTTATTAAATTTGGATTCATGAGTAAAATAACATTTCTGAGAAGAGAATTATTAATATTCTGAAAAAGTGCCTGATCATGTGCTCTGAAGGAGAAATCTCAGCCAGTCAGCTTTAACAATYCCCTTCTAGCTTATCCAAAATAGTTTCTCTGTTTCATGATGCAGAATTGCTACTGACACATGTACAATGTATAATGAATGATCAATAGAAGACTTGTGCTTAGTTCGTGCACAGCATGATCATAAAAATGATAGCATTAGAGAATTGTCTCTAACAGAGACACTTTTCATTGTTTCTTCTCTGTTTATTTAGCTATGTAAATAAAGTCCCTCTTGACCACTTTTAGAAAATTAAGTATTCCCTAGCTGTACTAAATTAATGGAAAAAGGGATGCAGCATTGACAAAATGTCAATTATTATGATAAATTCTGTTTTTGGACCAGTATTTAAGCTCATGTTGTTTTAAGTAAATGTCTAAATATAAAACTTGATTTGATACTTGAATTTTTGGGAACACAGCCTCTCTTGTCTGAGGCTCTCATCCTTAAAATTCTCTGCAAGCCTTTGGCATAGAAGAAAAACACACATTTCAAGATACCATGGTTGTGAGCATCTAATCCTTGCAATGTTTTATGCATCTTGAAGGAGGTTGGGGACACAAACTTCAATACCCTATCCGTTCTCGGCTGGCTTGTACAGTGTTCTCAGGGAGAAGGGCACGCCTCAGATGTGCMCTGGTCTGCCCTGGGTCACATCTTCCCAACAAACACRGGGTAAAYAYGGGAAAGAGTKCAACCTTCTGTCAGCRGTGCTGGCAGTCCCTTGGTGTGGGYGGGCAAGGATTGCAAGGGCTACATCAGCTCTGAAGTGTAACATCGTTCCTCTTGGTCTGAGAACCKACTGAAGTGACTTCAGAGAGATCAATGACCTTGGCTTGTCATCTCTAACTGGGGAGCAAGGAATGTCTGAATTTCCACAAGGACTGGGATTGCATCTTTAGTGGTAATCCTGCGAAGGGCTGAGTGGTGAACTCTGCCTGTTCCCTGGACCCTGCTCACCTGGGCACCTCTGCATCTGTAGGAACGTGCCCTGGTTTGTGGTGTGCACTGAGCAGTGTGGCTGAATCACAGATAAACATTTCCACTGGCACTTACYTGACTGGCTTCCCAGGCTGACCAGACTCACTTTTATCGTCTAGTCCTTTCCAGTGAGGAATATCACCAGTTGTTAAACTTCTAGTGATTATCAAAACATGGCATGGTCCACTCATCATGAATTCAACAAATTCGTCAAAGTCAGGCTAAAAAACATAATTTYCCCCATATGAACTGCAGGAACTCTGAACTTGTCATCAGAAATGAGACAATGATGCTTTTAATGTAACTCATACATTCCTGTTCCAAAATGGCATTCACATACATTCCTCAGARCTCTGTTAAATTGTCTGAGAAGTTTTTTCATCAATCATTTGAGACAACATTATCAAATGTCTTAAAAATAATTAATTTAGATAAAGAAATTCATARCTACTTTAAACAGTACTAGATGTTCTTCCAGGTTAAAATGAAAAAGAAAAGACTGAAGAAAATTTTCTAGAAGCTCGCAAATGTGATCACTTGTTATATTTGTAGTGCAGCATGTAGTGTGACTTATAAAACTGCAATACAGTTCCATGAATAATTTTTAAAACTGGAAATCATGTAGCTGTCTATAAATATAAAACCCAACTATTTGCAAAACATTTGTATGTTTCCTGAAACTCCACTTGCTTTACTATGTGCTTTTCACTTCTTTAGTTTCAACCTTCAATCCTATAAAAGTACATTTCTGTCAGAAAAATAACCTTTGAAGTTTGTGGTGTGAGTTTTTAACTCTTTTTTTTTTTTTTTTTTTTTTTTTTTTTTCACCTTTTTCTTTTTTTTTTCTATTCTTTTTTTTTTAAATCCTTATCAGTCACCATCATGTGATTGCATATGATACATTTTTCCTGTAATAATATCAGGATGATATATTCATGTCTGCTTTCAATTCATTGCTTTCTCCTTCAATTATCTTAATATCTGTGCATATGCTAACCTGTTTCACAAACTCAGAAAGAAAAAGAATGAATGCAAGTACAAAACCACTCATTATTATGCATAAAGGGAGTATTTTTTCTGTGGTGGCTTCAAAAGTACACTTGCTTATGTTAGAAGAACTATGTGTAGATGTTAGTTTTAGCTGTCCTGGTTCACCCAGCTTCATCATGAAAAAGAAGCAATTTTTGGTTCCAGTTTAATCTGAAGGTCTATTGCCTTGAGTCTCTATTCTCTTGTAAAATGCAGACTCCAGGAGTTCAGCAAGATTGTGGAGTATTAAATCAGGGATAATTTTGCGCAATGAGCACAAAGGAATCTCTATGTTTTAACGTAATTATTTTTCAGCCTAAAATTAAACTTAGAGAATGCCAAATAATTGACCTCTCAATATGCAAAGGGCTCTCTGGAACCATATAGTTCATAGGAGTTTTATTATCCTCCTGTCCTAATGTTGGCAGGTATCTGCTATGGTGTAATGTTATTTTCCACTCTCCATGATATTTGAAAAGTCTTGGCAGCCAGGTGAAGTCCCAAATGACTAAAATAAAAGGGAAACATTGTACATCTTTTTAAAGAGTAGAAAGGCTGACCCCAGGAGCTACTGACCTGTCAGCCTCACCTCTGTGCTTTGGAAGGTCATGGAACAGATCCTTCTGGAAGCTGTGTTAGGGCACGTGGAGGACCAGGAGGTGATTTGAGATGGCTTTACCGAGGGCAAGTCCTGCCTGACCAACCCAGTGGCCTCCTGTGATGAGGTGAGTGCATCAGTGGACAAGGGAAGAACTACAGATGTCATTTGTCTGGACTTCTGTAAGGCCTTGACATGGTACCATGCACCATCCTCCTCTCTGAAGTGGAGAGAGATGGATTTGATTTTTGTTTGGTAGAGGGGGAATTGGTTGGACACTTGCATCCAGAGGGTAGAGGTCAATAGCTCAGAGTCCCAATGGACATTGGTGGCAAGTGGTGTCCCCTGGGGGCCATACTAGGACCAGTGCTGTTTATCTTCATTAATGACACAGGTGAAGAGATTGAGTGCACCTTCAGCAGGTTTGCAGATGACACCAAGCTGACACACCCAAAGGACAGGATGCCCTTCCAGAGGGACCTGGACAATCTCAAGCAGTGGGCCCATGGGAATCTAATGAGGTTTAATGAGACCAAGTGAAAGGTGCTGCAGCTGGGTCAGGGCAACCCACAGACTGGGCGTGAACAGATCAAGAATTGCCCTGGAGAGAAGGACTTAGGGGTGCTGCTGGATGAGAGGCTGGACACGACCTGGAATGTGCACTTGGAGGCCAGGAAGCCAAACACATCCTGGGCTGCATCAAAAGTGGCACGGCCAGCAGGGTGAGGGAGGGGATTCTGCCCTTTCACTCTGGTGAGACCCCATCTGCAGTACTGCATCCAGATCTGGGGTCCCCAGCACAGGAAGGGAATGGACCTGTTGGAGCAAGTCCAGAGTAGGCCACTAGAACAATTAGAAGGATGGAGGACCACTCTGTACAAGGAAAGACTGAGAGGATTGGAATTGTTCAGCCTGGCGAAGAGAAGGCTCCAGGATGACCTAATTGCAGCCTTTCAGTACATGAAGGGAGCCTACAAGAAAGATGGAGAGGGACTTTCACAAGAGCATGCAGTAAGAGGACAGGGGGAATGGGTTCAAACTGAAAGAGAGTAGGTTTAGATTAGGTATTAGGAAGAAATTCTTTACTGTAAGGCAGTGAGGCACTGGCACAGGTTGCCCAGGGAAGCTGAGGATGTCCCATCCCTGGACATTCAAGGCCAGGCTGGATGGAACTGAGCAACCTGGTCTAGTGGAAAGTGCCCCTGCACTTGGAACCAGATGATCTTTAAGGTCCCTTCCAACCCAAGCTATTCTATGATTCTATGATATATCAAACGTTGCATGCTTTTGTCTTTGTTCTTCCCATGTCTGCCTCTACACTTTGCTACTCTCAAATTTGGCTGCTGTTTCCATAAAGATGAGTTACTTCTACCTCTATTTCAAAACTATCTGTGTCTAAACTAGAATTCTAGTTCTTCATGGTTTCTTACAAGACCACCCTGTTACTCCCTTTCTAAACCATAGGGCTGCCATCTAGTGATTACTATAATTTTTCTTTTTTGTCTCTCACTTTAGTAGGAACCAACTCATCTCATTCTCATCCCTTTGGAATGCCACAGAAGCACCTTCCCACCCCCTCCTTTACATTAGGCCAACCATTTCCCTGATCCTTTTCATTAGTTCCTCTAATAATATAAAACAAATTATTAATAGTCTGCATGTAATTCCAGTCTCTATTTTATACATATAGCAGAAGGTATAAAAATTTGCTAAGCAACTTCATTTTTTGACTCAGATCCTTCTACACATTCAATTTTAGCTAACACACGGCTGGAGAATGTGACCATATTCAGGTGCTAGTTTGCTAGACCACTGTTATTTAATGGTGGGCAGCCTAATTTAATTATTTTCTTGAACTTTATATCTGTCTTTAGCTATTTTTGTCCCCTAATACGGGACAAGGCACGAAAAATAGATGCCAACCGAGATGCTTTCCCCTTCTGCCTGTGCACATGTTTATTTCCAGAACTGCTCCATGATAAAATCTGGAAAGAAATTTAAAAAATATATAATGTGTAGTATCACTTATTTTCTGTCCTCAACAATATGTGTCAAATTGATACATACTGTCACATAGATGACACTGGATTTTGGGTTTGTGCCACATTTCAGCACCTGATAACCAAGGCAGAGTAATTGCAGGAACAATTTATACAGCATTCTGTTTTTCTTTTCTTACAAAGGTCAGAGGGGCTGTCATAACAGGTTTTAAAATCAGTATAATTTCATCCTGATAAATAGTGTTACAAATTTAGCACCATGTCTAAGGATCACACACATTTAGATAACAGAAAGAAGAACAAAATCTTTCAGTATTTAATTGGAGGTGAGTTTAATTTTGTTGGAATATTAGATTGCCACCTTAGTGATATTTGTATGAGTCAGTAAAAGGGAGAGAGAATATCTCTTATGTACTAAATCTACATTAATTCAGTTCTTAAATATATTTAAAATTTACCATACAGACATTTGCAAGAACATCTGGTAACAAAAATTTTTTTTACCTGTTCCTTTCATTTATGCTTTTAATTGGTTTTTACCTGGTATTTTTTATGGGTGTAAAACACTCGGATTTGCTCTTCAGTAAGCATCCTCTCCTCCGCTGCTTTAATGTCAAATCCTGCCCGTCTAATCTGCAATTACTCAGTTATTACTCATGGGCATTTGAAAATGAATAAGTACTAAATCATCTGTTATTACAAATCTAAAGATTGATTGATTTTAGAAGATATCTTAAGTTTAAAATTCTCTGAACTATTCAAAATATAACTCCTATCTYTGTCTAAACTGAACTTCCAGCCTTTCAAAGCACTTTACTAAATTCGAGATCATAATACCTCTAAGTTAATGTTTGTGAAAAAATATAATGCAGTTCAATGTATGTAGAACGTTCATTCAGCAGTTAATAATTCCTTTTATTTCACATTGAATAAACTCCTTTTGGTCATTGTGAGTGGTTAACATGCAACTGATGTTGCAAAATAGTATAAATTATTTTATAATCATAGGAGTCATTGCTTAGATATGCACTTAACAATTTCTGTATTAGGCTAAAYTACTTGGCTTTAGAAACAGCAAACAAAGAAAAATGAAATCTACTTTATGCTTTTCTGTTTTAWGCTAGGTTACTGYGCTAAATTAAATTATTTGYGAGTGATSCACACTTAYATGACTTGAGTCAAAGTTCATAGTSCATTGGTATGTGGTTTGTAGCAGATATTGATATTTTAATGGCAAAGGCAGTATCCAGCCCCAATACTGGTGACACACCAACATTAACCTGTGCACCAGCGCTCTACTCTTTGATTTGATCTTTGAAAGCCCCTGTGATGGATGTTTTCAGCTGACCCTGACAAGGCTGACTGTGGAAACAGTGCAGGAAATCACCTCATAAGCCAAGTAGCAGCTGCTCCAGCTAAATTGTTTCCAAGCACTGCGTGTTTTTTTGCCTTTACTGAGCTTCCTTCCTTTCCAGCTAAGGTAGAGYAATTGCAGAAACAACCTATACAGCACTCTGATTTCCTTTCCTGCAAAGGTCATTATCCCTGTCATAGCACTTTTAAAAATACTTATAATATCATCTTGATACACATTGTCATGAGATTTTTTTTGGTAGCAGAAAAAATATGAATCGATGTCTAACCTTTACTGGCAYAGAACATTAAAACAATAGTATAAATTTGAATGTTGTATTATTTCAGGTAAAAATTATTGTGCTTTTATCATCCTCAGCAGAGAATCCTTATGAGATTCTGTTCTAAAGCCTGAGCATAAATTAGGATATACTTGACCTTTCATTTTGCTATTATGCCTCTTAAATAAATAGAATGAATGAATATTTTAAAATTCTGTTTACCTTGCGTTTAATTTCATTTACACGTCCCTCTGCGACATCATCAGGTTTTATAATTCCGACAGAATAAGTGAGTACTTCTGAAAAAGGGGAAAAATAGTATGCTAATTAATATATTMATTAAAATCAATGCGCAACTAAATTTTCCATTACTTACAAGTAGGTTTCTCTAAGTAATTTGCCATTTTAATATTGATATGGCCAAACAGTGGTCCCAAAAATTGACTCCAACATTTAAAGCATGCGTTGCAGTGCAGGACCAACTTTTTTGATCCCTGGAATTCACATTTCTGATTAACTATTGTTTTTTAGGAGAAAATATGGTGGAGAAATGCATGCAGCTAGCTGTGGTAGGAAAATTTCAGCTGATGATGAATTTTGTCTAGGAAGATCTCTGTATGTACGAGAGTAGAAAAGTGAAAGGAATGAATTTTACAAATGAAAATTCACTAAGTGAAAATCTGAATATTGGAGATTTCCAGTAAAACATGTACTTCTCATCACAGTGGTTTGATTCCTTAGGGTTGGGAATGCTGAAGGCATTTGCAATAAATACCTGTGGAATTCACACACACTTGCTAACACAATCTGATGTWTAAAACAGGGTGTTCCTTGCTGTAACAGTGTAGACACAGTGCTACCACATCCATAGCATAGAGAACCTTGAAAATGGTCAGCAGGGACCTGAAGTTTACAGTTAAGCATTTGAATGTTACTCAATCAGATCCCAAAAACTGCAGAAGAATTTAAGATAGCAATAATGCAAGCAGCACATTATTCATTACCAGTACTAGAATCACCTACAGACACTGCATGTGTTAAGAAAAATATTACCACAAAATATTAGTGCATCACAGTTTCTGAGAGATCCCCTAACCTGAAGCTGAACCTGAGCTAAAGCTCTRCTTTCTGATTTTCTATCATGTTTAGCTTTTGGGGATTAGTGTGAAGTCTGTAGATAATTGCTAAATGATGATACTGTACTACTAGGTCTCACAGGGCTTATTAAAAAAAAACATAGGCTACAGTTGAGGTCAGGAATATGTCAGTAGAACCACACAATTAAAAAAAAAAGCATGAAGAGGAAGGAAAGGAGATGCCATGACTGTGATCTAATGCCTTCTCACAGAAGGAAAAGAAGCACAGTCCAGAAGAAGGAGAGGATGGAGGAGTTTGCTGCATCTCAGCAGTGCAAAATGGCATTCTCTGCATATATGAAGGAGTGGGAATATTCAGTAGCCATAGACAACAATAAAAATAGAAAARATGTAGGTCTCAGCTTATGACAAACCTGAGATAAATCACAGACAGGACTTACCAACAGGATGGTGCTTATTTTTCAATCYTTTTGCAAGCTTATCCTGCTACTGTGGATTTATGCTCTTATATAAGCCTGTTCTTAAATCTAATCTGGTGAAAGAGTTAATTAAAATAATCTGAGATAGAAGGCATGCCACTGCTTCACAGATCAGCTCTTCCAATCTTCTCAGATTGAATCCATCTCAGTATTCCACCCTAACAGAAGTACACAGCTCACACAGGGACTGTGTGGAAGTGACTTTCAGGCCTTAACTTTACACAGGAAAATTCCCTGGCACATATCACTTCTGAAGGTTCCCAGTGTGGGTATAAAGATATATTGATGATGACAGTCCAATATATTAATTTCTTACAGAAGAATGCTCAATCATAGCACTTCATTAACTCAGCTGAAGAAGGGTCTATTAGTGCTACACATAGACAATTATTAATCAAAAGACATTTGTTCTCTTTCTTTCTGTTAACATTCCTAAAATAAATCAAATATATTTACCCTCGTCTGCTTCCTCSTCATCAGACCCTTCTGATGAACTTTCTTCTTTGAAAACAATTTCTTCTACCTAAGGTAATTGCAAATGGAATAAAAGTACATCACCTCTGCAATTCTAAGAAGGAACTTTGGTCAGTCTGATATTCCTTAACTGAACTTCAGTTAAAAATCTTTTTTTTTTACTGTGAGTGGAGTTCTTTCATCTCCATTTTAATAAAACTAGCAATAAGACATGACTGTTATTTATGTCTTTGTTTCATATGATGCAGTTACTAAGTTATGCTTTAAAAATACTTAGTCCCAAAAGAAAAAACATTACTAAAACCTTTATGAGCTCATGACATTTTGTCCATCTCTCCATTTCTCATACTWTTAGACTAATCTGTAAATTTGTTAAGTTTTTATGAAGTACCATAATGGAAATTTGGTGGTTCTGTGGAGAACAAGAAACAAGGGCAGATTAACTCTGCTATTACTGTGAAATCCAACTGTGGGATCTTTYGCAATGCAGGCTGAACTAGTGAAATATGTGACTGCCTGTGGCAGGAGGGGTTAGACTAGATGATCTTTAAAAGTCCC